CTAGTGGTTTGCAGTAGCTTTTACGTGTATTATTTTTTGAAATTAAAATGCGAAACAAATTTAGTAGATTACCAAAAACATTTTTTTTATAATATAAGGTGGAAAACGAGCAAGCAGCCATCTAAATCCATCGATATTAAAAGCGACCGCTGCCCATAAACATCCGTAATTGCAGATGCGTTGCCTACCCTTAATTGGCGGAGAAGGAGACGCACATAAAGAGGACAATTCCCTTTCCTACGCATCTCCTTCACCGTCAAATCCACTTTTTCTTAAAAGGAAAGGGAAAGGGACTAAAATTACGTCTCCGGCACCACACTCATCAGACGAATGTGTGGTCGTGGTATTACACCAGGCAAGCCGGCCCATTCCGTTAAAACATTATTGGTATCTTGACTCAAAATTCTTATATCTGACGTAAAAACCATTAAAAGCATTCTGATGCTTATCTGAGGATACGTATCTAACAATTACGCAAGTTCAATAAAATCAACGTTTATTTTCGATTAATCAGATTACAGACTTTTATTATTTAAATAACCTTGCCCTATATCTGTCAGTACTGATGTTTCAACAAACCTCGGTACTGCATACATCTTATGAATTTCCTTGGCACGACGGCAAGAATTATTTGTTTATTATTACAAACTACATCTTTTCAAGGATGACGATGGTGTCTATAGAGATTAACTCAATTTATTTACCTAACTACTAGATTTCCCCCACGAGTCCCTCCGCGTAAATTAAAAAACAAAAGTGAGTAGCCTATGTGATCTTCTAGACTATCTCTATACTTATACCAAATTTCGTCGAGATCCCTTCAGCAGTTTAAGCTACAAACTCTAAGAAACATCCATCCATCTATCTAAACTTTCGCATTTACAATATTAGTAAGATATTTAAATAATTTCCTCGTCAATAGTTAAGTACACGGTCTTCTTAATAACCAATTAATGACTGAGTGCTATACTATTTTTAAACCAATCCCTTCTCCAAAATTCTTAAATATTAGTCAACGCATCAAATTAACTACAAATTGTTGGCTGAGTCTTCTATAGCCTGACTCAATGTGACAGTATATGAACATATTTTGTGAGTACGAACGTACGACGAACTAATTTTAGCACATATTGCTATACAATTAATTAAAACAGATATTTTATCTATACAATTAGACCGGAAATTGAATCCTTGCCCTTGGATCAAACACGAATGGTACGAATGAAATATAAACAGTAGTAAATTGGCGTTTCTAAATACGTAACAATTAATATCTTCTAGTCTTCACAGATGTTTTATTTATAGACCGGATACGTGAAATAGATTTATAATGCATGCATAAGTAAAATAATGTATGTACTACAGGTATAATGTTGGAAAAAAATGACCACAAGAGACAATTAAATATTCTTAATTTATCAAGAATTTAAATTAAATTTTATCTATACTATTATAATTAACACACATTTCTTTGTTGCCTAAGATGTCAGCAAATACAGCATATTTTTGATTAATTCTTCTTTTAATAAAAAGCCCTACACTTACGTCATGCTTTAGGCTATATATTTTCACGCCATCAAACTTAGGGGGTAAACATTTTGGATAAAAACCCTAATGTGGGAAAGAGACTATAAGTTGCCGCCAACATCAAAAAAGCAAGATTGCTAAGGTTTGTCATGTCATGTCATGTCATTTTGACATTTGCTATTGATAATTTGACAAATGTAAACAATAAAAAAAAATTTTCAAAATTCCATGCGGACGAAGCCGCTCAGAAACAACTAGTCTAGAATTGGAAGTTGTGAATTATTTTTTTCAATACTAGATTAGTAAAATATGTTTTACGATACAAATGTAATAGCAGTCTGTTATCGTTTTTCTGTCAGTTTATTTTCGCAACAAGACAGATATGAAAGCAATTGAAAGGGACATGTTTGTTATTTAGTGTAGGGCTAGATGGAATATTTTATTACATCTGGGTCACATCATACAGAAATAAACAGTACTATATTTATATTTTTAATTCTGTTTTTATTAACTAAAATTATAGTCTCGTTAAATATTAAATAAGTCGTATACTTACTTAGATAAAAAGCACGAATATTAACATCAAATATACGATAATATATTTTTTCCACAATATGGTTAATGGTTAATTGCTTATTTAACTATATTTTTTATTAGCAGTTTTGCAACCAAGATAGTTGTAGGGACTCTACATTTGTTCATAATGTTATGCGGTTGCATCGTACACGATCGGACTTTACCGGTTGTAATAAACTAAAACTGGAAATAGCTCGCACGGATTCGATGCAGTATTGCTACAGTTATAATTCATAGAAACGTTTGTACATATTTATATAAATACTCCCGACGTGCAGGCTAGGCGTATGCATGGAGTAAGCATGAATGTACTATCGGGGAATTGCCAGTGTTCTACCTAAAAAGCTATAGTCGTTTGAAAGTATTATACAAACTACGACGCTGAATAATAATCAATAGGACGCAATTTCAAAAGTGTCATTACAAAAAAAGGTCGGTCAGTGCTACGCGAATAATTTCTTTTTATTATTCTAACCTACTGTTGGAAACCTAATTATTATTTGGAAGAAGTAGTGGAACACCGCGAATGGCCCTGAAAGTACATAAACTCAGTAGTTTTACAGACAGAACAACTGAATTTCAGAACGATAGTTGAGTCCCATTCGATGTCAATTCAAGTTTTAATATATTGTTGGTAATAGTTTAAAATTGTGAATGTTATTTTTAATTTCTTTTGAACCAGATATTCACAAGAAACTTGGGTTTCATTAAGACCTGCGTTTGCCGCGTGTATCTATTTTTATCTCCATCTTTAATAAAAAAAAAAATTACTACCTCGTATCTTTATGAAAATTGAGTTGGCCTTTAACTATATTTAGTTATTTAATATTAGTAACTCATGATTATTCTATAAAATTAGCAGTTAGTTCTAGAATGTTTTAAAATTAAATGAAATGGTTTCTTACTATAAATTGTAATATCCAACTCGTCTACAGTACATTCTATTTGCCGGTATAGCCATTTAATGCCAAAACTGACCTTCGCGCCGTTTATACGAGCCCCTAAACGAAAATAAAATAAATAATTCGAGCGTCACGTAAGGTTAAGCTGAAACGATGTTCAGAATAGCAAATGACAGTCGTTTTTATTTTATTTGCTATGGCGGCTTCGTAAATGATACCAGAGATTATTTTTCTATCAAATTAATTGTAACTAGCTGTTGCTCGCGACTTCGTCCGCGTAGAACTATAAAAAAAATAGCAAAAAATGTAGCCTTTGTTATTCATTGATAAAATAGCTTTTTTAGATTTTTGAAATCGGCTCAGTAGTTTTGAGTTATATCAATACATACATAAATACAATATAATTTTCTTTATTATATTAGTATAGATAAAACCTTATTTAATGACTATAAAAATTGGTAAAAAATGAAAATTCCAATATTTTTTACTTTATTTCTAAGAAATCAACTAAACCATAAAAATGCTTTAGATGAGTTAACTTGTTACTTTTCAATTAGCCCATATTATTAAAAATATTTACTTATTCTCTCGTAGAAATTTCTCCTACACATGGGTTTAATACAAAAAAAATATCAATTTATCGGTCCGTTGCCGTTGTACAGGAAACATCCTGCCCATTGCTTACTGACAGGTCTCGCCCCGCAGTCACGGTCTATTTGTGCTAACATTTCACGAATGTGTCCGCAAACTTTATATTGAGGTCACGCAAAAATCTAGCTAGCATGAAATTAAACAATTCTAATGATAAAATTAGTTACTTTATTGGTAAATGTGATTTGTACAAAACCTAGATAATTATAATAGAAAAGTAGTAAATTTTACCAACAAGTTAATAACTGTTTCTCAAAATCACCATCCTTTAAATAAATAAATACTTTATTGTTTCACACTAATTAAATTACATTTCATTGGAGCCTTTTCTCCTGCACTAAGTTGGCGTATGGCCCAAAGATGTTTTGAAATACATTTTGCAAAGTTTTTTTATCAAATTGTCGGACAATACACTACTAACCGAAGAATCTATACTAAAGAGGAAAGATTTGTATTTTTGGATTGTTGTATGGCGGTGGGTTTGGGACTGATTTATTTTAAATCATTTGACGGTATACTAAATATCATATATTACAGTATGCATTGATATATCTCAAAAACTACTGCACTAATTTCAAAAATTCTTGCACCATTAAAAAGCTATGTTATCACTGTAACATAGGCTATATTTATTTTCTATTTAATTCCCGAAGTCGAGAGCAACAGCTATAATTTATAAAGCGTTTATCGTAAAAATGATTGGATGCTTGAATTTTATGGCTGAATTACGCACAGTGACGTAATGTCTTGCGCCGCCGGTCGGGCGCCTTGTCTCCATTAGGCTGAATGGAGAAAACGCTTGGCTCGTATCGTAATACATCAGTGGGAGTCCTTTTTGTTATAGCTATCTATAAATAATCTAAATGCTAAGTAAGTGTTGACATAACGTACATTGTAGCAAGAAATGTGATAACACACATACAAAGAAAGGAAATCTGATATCAAAAATTAATGATTAACTTTCTTGCTAACATAAATATGACAGAGTGAAATATTAATGTGTATAAAATATTTAGTCATAGATTTCAAAATACACTGAATTTACAATTTTTATCGTAGAACTGCAAACTGGCGTAAAGAATAAAACTAAATGTAACATTTACTATTTTTATTGAAGCGCAGTTCATTCTACAATAAACCCGATAAGGCGTAATCGGCATCTCGAATGTTATTAGAAACGGCTTTCGATCAATTTGCATTTATCCGTAGAACTTCTGAATTCTCGACCAGTGAAGGTAAAGGTGCAATCAGTGTAACATGTGTTAAAGATAAAGTGAATAAACTGTCTTCATAAGTCGATGTGTCGGTGATCGCGGACGTATGAGGTGAGAAGGACCAGCAGCAATGACGTCACTCAAGCACGGAGTCAACCTGAGCAGGCGCGCTTGCAGGCGTTTGCTGACTGTCCTGACCGCTGCTGCAGTCTTGGCGGTCACTTCTAGCAATCCTATTGAAGTGAGTATCATCAGGGTACCCTTTTCCTTACAGAGAATCGGCACAGTATGTACTTTTCCATACATCGTTTTCAGTAATCATAACAGAATTCACTCCCTTCTTACGCATATTTCCCACACAAAATGAATTTAACTATTTACATCATCGTTAATTTATAGCAGAACAAAAGAGTAATAAATTTTCATCTAATTTTGAAATTGGAACTGTTTTTGTTTTTAATAGTAATTCTTATGCACGCTACGACTCCATTTCACTGGAATGTGTTCCCGCCCTAATATTACCAATTGACGCTATAACTGAAGAAGTTAATGAACAGAGAATATGAATTTATAGGTTTTAAGGTTCGTTGAACAGCTGTAACGTCTGACGCAGAATCCTATGCCCCAGTAAATTATACTTCAAATAAAATTACATTCACCCCTTAGAGAAGTAAAATGAATCATTACTATGAAAATTGAGATATTAAATGGAAATTACTTCTTCATGTCTAAATATAACCAATATTCATGGAAAGATTGTAAAGAAAAAAATATGTTTAGGTAATAGACTTTTGTATAATATAGCAAAGTCAAATGCGTCTTCACAGTCGATTAAAAGTAGGCAATGCATCTATGGTCACTTCGAAAATTGGGGTGGGGGGGG